AATCATTTCCTTAAACGTCATCTTTTTTTTTAATTAACAGCCTATCTTATTAATCAGTTCAAAATTATTAATTTGCATTCAGTTCATTAACGTTTAATACTCCCATCGTAAATCACTTACTTTCCCATCATTTTATGTTTGCATATGCTTGTTATTAATGTTCAGCGATGTAATAATCAAGAGTAATTTCTTTTTCGGTTCCAGAACTTTGGACACCAACCTAATGTGCTGCCACCTCGATCTTTTCAGGGAAGATGCTGATTGCGAATATCCATTCAATGACAACTTCGCAAGCTGTCAATCCATGTTCCGTAACCTTGCTCCAAGGAGAAGTCTTTGGTTTGTCGGTCTTCTGTCGTTGTTTGGGTCTTTGTTTGTTGTTGGGTGGCAGTATTTTTTCCCAGATAACAATGTGGTCCAGTCTATCATGTTGGTGAATCTGGGTATATCAGACGGCATCATGGGCATTTACCTTCTTATTATAGGTATAAAAGACCTGCAATGGTCAGGCGAATACTACCTACACGACTATGAGTGGCGCACTGGCTGGTTTTGTCATTTCAATGGCGCCATGTCTGTCTTTTCAAGTGAGGTGTCAGTTATGATGATCTCTTTGATTGCATGGGACAGGCTTAAGAACATTGTGTTCCCCTACACTTTTGCAAAAATGACACCAAAGCAGACCCGTATAATGTGCGTGGTTATCTGGCTGGTGGGGGGCGTTATGGCATTCCTTCCCTTGTCTGGAATGCACTATTTTGGTGACTGGTATTATGGCAAGAACGTAGTGTGCCTGCCCCTGCAGCTTTCCCCGCAATTACAAAAAGGCTGGGAATACTCCACTTCCATCTTTATCGCTCTAAATTTTTCTCTTTTCATCTTCATTACGGTGGCCTATGTTGCCATCTTGTTGAAATCATGGTCATCAAGCAGACGGCTCGGTACACATGGAACTGTTCGTGAAATACGGGCAAGAGCACAAAGTGCACAGGCCAAAAGAGAAAGGGCACTTGCCAAAAGAGTCTTCTTCATTATTCTGACCGATTTCCTGTGTTGGATACCAATCATTACTATCGGCATGAAGTCTCACGTCGAGAAAACATTTGATCCCCCTGGTGATCTGGCAGTGTGGATTGCAGTGTTCGCTCTGCCGATCAATTCAGCTATCAACCCATTGCTGTATACGCTTTCTACTCCACAGGTAACATATTTATTGTTTATTATTTCTGAATTGGAGATACTGCCACATTCAATTTTGCTTTTGTATCAGAGCAGGCTGGCAACTTAATTCGTAATTGTGACTACTGACATGAAAAACGAAAATGAAAAAGATTTGATTATGACCATGAAGACCAACTTGAATGTAATAGAGATTATTCAAAAGTCTCACACTAACTATCCCATAAATTTCTGTATAGGTGCAAGCTATACTGAAACCAAAACTGAGGAAGCTGTGGTCCAATGTTCGAACTTTTTTCAACAGAGGACAAAATCAAGAAGGTAACGGTTTTATGTTCCATTTTAAAATAAAATACCATGATAACAGTAATGGTGTTTCACACTTCGAATTTCACATTTTTTACGCCTGAGGCGTACGAAAAGCAATCAAGAGTGTGACTCTAAATGTGTGCGTAGAAATGGGGTTAGAGCAGGTTTCATGGAGCGGGGGGGGGGCCTCGCTGGTTGAAATAATTATTTCTGATCGATCAAAGCCATGTTCAAGGAGAATTGAAGCCATTTGTCAAACCTTTTTTAATAACAATGGAGCGGAGATTTTTAAATTATCATTAAAATAGAAAGGAATCAACATCTGTCTTCCATTTCAAGGTAAGATTAATACAAATCTGACTTGTAGAATGATTTTTGTTTAATAAATATTTGGAAAAGCCTGACAGTGGCTTATTCACTGTTTGAAAAAGACCAAGAAAATTTTGTTGTTGTTTCATAACATAGAAGAAGCAGAAAATGATCACCAGAGACAGGGTGGAAATGAAGATGCACACGCTATCAACGAAGAGGGTAAAATATATTTGATTAATGTGATTACACATGAAATATTCCTTTTCTACCCCGGAAGTTTTTTGTGTAACAGCTTTTCCATCCTTGTTTTTCGTTCATTAGTAATCCTGGTTTTCTTTCTTTCATTTTTTTCCTCGTAGGAGAACACATTGAAATGCAAGTAATAGAACACCACGATATTCCAGAAGTGGA